ATGGAGACAACTGTGCTTGAACAACAATTATAAAAGAAAATAAATAAATAAATGAAATCATAGCCTTGCTGGAAAAAATTAAATTAAATTAATACAGCCACAGCTAGCTTTCTTTGGATTAATGTTAGCATGGTATAAAGTTTTTCTTTTTCTTTTTAGCCTATCTGTATCATTATATTTAAAGTGAGTTTCTTGTAGGTGGCATATAGTTTGGTCTTTTACTTTTTTATTCTGATGATAAATGTCTATTAATTTGTATATGTAAACCATTTTTATTCAATGTAATTTTTGATGTGTTTGACTTTAAGCCTACCATCTTATTTGTTTACTCTTGTTCCCTCTTATTTTGCTCTTTTATATCTCTTTTCCTACTTTTTGTGGGTTATTTGAATATACTGTATTTTATTATTTTATTTGAATTCATCTACTGAATTTTTGAGTATTTTCCTTTGTTAGGCTTTTTTTTTGTGCTTGCTCTAAGAATTACAATATACATCCTTAATTTTTAACAGTCTACTTAGAATTCATGCTTTGCTACTTTGAATGAAATACAGAAAATTTACTTTTATGCAGGTCCCTTTGTCTTCACCTATTTCTGTTATAGTTGTCATATGCATTATATCTACAATTTATTTTTTTATTTTTTTAAATTTTATTGATTATGCTGTTACAGTTGTTCTAGTCCCCCTTTCATTCCCCTCCACCCTACGCCCCCATCCTCACCATTACCCCCCTTTAGTTTATGACCAAGTGTCTCAAGTCCTTTAGATTCTATATTTCCCATGCTATTCTTGCCCCCCCTTCTATTTTCTATCTACTGTCTATGCTACTTATTTTCTGTACCTTCTCCCCCTTTCTCCTCCTCCCACTCCCTTGTTGCTAACCCTCCTTGAGATCTTCATTTCTATGTTTCCACTCCTGATCTAGCTGTCCTTTTAGTTTGCTTTTGTTTTAGGTGTGGTTGTTAATAACTGTGAGTTTGTTGTCCTTCCACTGTTCATGTTTCTTTAACTTCGTTTTCTTAGATAAGTCCCTTTAACATTTCATATAATAAGGGCTTGGTGATGATGAACTCCTTGAATTTGATCTTATCTGAGAAGCACTTTATCTGTCCTTCCATTCTAAATGAAAGTTTTGCTGGATAGAGTAATCTTGGTTGTAGGTCTTTGGATTTCATGACTTGGAATACCTCTTTCCAGCCCCTTCTTGCCTGTAAGGTCTCTTTTGAGAAATCTGCTGACAGTCTGATGGGAACTCCTTTGTAGGTGACTGTCCCCTTATCTCTTGCTGCTTCTAGGATTCTCTCCTTCATTTGAATTTTGGCTAATGTAATTATGATGTGCCTTGGTGTGTTTCTTCTTGGGTCCAAATTCTTTGAGACTCTCTGAGCTTCCTGGATTTCCTGGAAGTCTATTTCCTTTGCCAGATTGGGGAAATTCTCCTTTATTATTTGTTCAAATAAGGTTTCCACTGGTGGCTGTGCCTTTCCCCCTTCTGGTACCCCTATAATTTGGATGTTGGAGCATTTAAAGATGTCCTGGAGGTTCCTAAGACTCTCCTCATTTCTTTGAATTCTTGCTTCTTGACTTTTTTCTGTTTGGCCATTATTTGCTTTCTTCTGGTCCACTCCATTGATTTGAGTCCCAGTTTCCTTTTCATCGCTATTGGTTTCCTGTGCAATTCCATTCATTTCAATTAGTTTCACCTTCATATATTTGTCTAATTTGTGGCTATAATCAACCAGTTCTGTGAGGATCCTGATCACCAGTGTTTTAAACTGTGTGTCTGAGAGTTTTGCTATTTCTTCATTGCTTAGATCTATGGGCTCTGGGGCTTTGAGATCTTCTTGCGACATTTTTGGTCTGTTCTGGCCCTTTAAGTGTGAGAAGGCGCCTTGGACTCCCAGGTCGCTGGGTTGTGACGCTGTATGTGGGGGCGTAGTCAGAGCGGGGAAATGGCGGCCCCGTCTGCTGTTTCTTACAGCTGGGTGTGGAGCAGAGGCTTAGGTGGTTCACCAGGGCGGGGCCACTTAGAGTAGCTGGGTTATGATGCTGTACGTGGAGGTGGGGTCAGAGCAGGGAAATGGCGGCGCCCTCCACTGCCGCTTGCCGCGGGGACCTGCTGGCTTGGTCCAATGGCCCACTCCCTCACCTGTCCACCCGCGCACAAATGCGCGACCACAGTCAACACGCAGCACCACTCCACCGCTGTCGCTCGCCTGATCACTCACTCGGTCCCTCACTAGGTCCAACCCTGCGCCTGGATTCCAGGCATCTGGATTCTGCACTCCTGAGGTGCCTGAGTCGTCTGACGGAGTCCTCCTGTGCAACCCCGCTTCACCAGCCGCTGGTTTCGCCCCTTACCGGTCAGGCTGAAGAATTTGTCGTTAACGGACTTCCAAAAAGTTCAATTTTCCGTGTTCTGGCTGTGTTTTCTGTTGCTAATATTTAGTTGTCTCTAAACTTGGTTGTGTGAGAAGGCACGGCACATTCATTTATGCCTCCATCTTGGTGGAAGTCCCTCCAATTTACCTTCAACCATTATATATGTTTTAAGAACTTAATAGACAAAATAGTTTATTATACTTACCCAAACATTTATCATTTCTGTTGTTCTCTTGCCATTTCTGAATATCCAAATTTCTTCCTGTTATTATTTCTTCTGATCTGAAAAACTTCTTTTAGTATTATTTTTTAAAAGAAAATCTAGGCCCTGGCTGCAAACCTCCCTTCCCTTCCCTCTAATCTTAATAAAAAAAAAAAAAAAAAGAAAATCTGATGACTAGAAATTCCCTTTGCTTCCCTTTCTCTGGAAATATATTCATTTTTGCCATTATTCCTGAAAGATATTTTTGCTGGATATGAACTTCTGTGAGTTTCTCTTTAGTAATTCAAAAGCTTTTTTCCCCTCCCTTTTGACTTCTCATGAGAAAATCCAGTCATTCATATTGTTGTTTCCCTGTATATGTGGGTTTTTTTCTCTGGCTGCTTTCAAGATTTTTTTCATTGTCTTGAAGATTTGACAGCTGATTATAATATGTCTGAGCATGGATTTTTTTGTTGTTGTTATTGTTGATTTTGTTTGGGTACAGCTAAAATTCTTGAACCTTTATGGTTATGTACTTTACCACATTTGAAGAAATACTGGCTAAAATCTTCCTGAACATTTTTGTATTTGTATACCTCATACTTCCTTCTTCTCTTTCTGGAACTTCAATAAGAGATTCTTGGGTATCATGACATGACCTTGAGGCTTTCTTCATTTTTTATTCAGATCGGGCAATTTCTACTGATCTAACTTCAAATTCATGCACTCTTTCTTTACTTATCTCATCTATTGTTCTCATTCAGTGAGATTTTAAAGTTTTAGTTATTGTAAGTTTCAGTTCTTAAATTTTTGAATTGTTTTCTACTGATTCCATTTCTTTACTGAGACTTTTTAGTTTTTCATTCATTTTAATAATCTAACCCTTCTTGGAGCTTGGTTAATACAGCTGCTTGAAAGTTTTTGTTCAATAATTCAACATCTGTGTCATTTCAGACTTAGTATCTGTTGATTACATTTTCCTGGGTGAGATACTGAGATTTACCTATTTAATTCTAGGCTGAGTAATTTCAGATTGAATCCCAGATATTGTGAATGTTATGAATTCTGGCTCTTGTTAACATCTTCTGAAGAATGTTAATTATTTTCTTTTATAGGCAGTTGACTCATTTGGGGTTCAGGCTACAAGTTTTTACCCAGTTTCTGTGTGAGTTTAGTTTTTGAAGAATTCACAGGGTGTTTTGATCTATTCTGCACTTGCCCCATGCAGTACCCAGTCTTGGGTGGTGGTCTGCCACCAAAGTCAGTTTTCAAAGCCTTTAGAATGTGGTTTAGGGTCAGATCTGCACATTTGCAGCTCAGGATTTAGCCCAGAGTTTGATGCAGAACTCAATGGTGTCATTTTCTTAAGCCTTTTCCTCTTTACCATCTCCCCAATACTTTCTGGCTTCCAGGGCCCCTTTGCTTTTCCTCTGTCTAGAAAGTCACAGCTTTTGTTTCTCTGCTCTGCCACACACTTCCCATAACTGCACCTGTCTTTGGGGCCAAGCTGGTAGAGGAAAAAGAAGGACAAAAACAAGGGGGATTTTGGGGACCTCTAGTCAGAGGAAAATGATTCTCCTCCCCATGAGTTTCAGATGAGATTGGGCATGTTCAGGGTGGTATGCCCATAGAGTCTGGCCACTGTTTCTGTTGATAGACTACCTGATGACTAGAGTGAGAAAGAATAGAGAAATACAAAAAATGTTCTGGGGGTTCTCCCCCATTCTCTGGAGGCACTTTATTTCCTGCTCCTCAGAGCAGGAATAGAGCACTGCTTCTAGATCTCTGTGTGCTCAGTCCATACCTGGTGCACAGTGCTGGGTTTCAGGCTCCCTGGGAGTCCATACCAGGGGATGCTGGAGGGGAAAGCCAAGGAACCTCATTGCCAGTTGCATAGTGCTTTGGATTTGGTTTCTTTCTCTGCTATCATTTACTTTTCAGAGTTCTTAGAGAACTGCTCATGCATTCTTTCTGAGTTTTTAGTTGCATTCAGTGGATAGAACACAGTAGGGTGTGCTTACACCATTTTGAAGGAATCTGGAAGTTCATGTGTGTGTGTGTGCATGTGTGTGGGAGTGTTTAACATAAAATGAGAACTTCACCATCTCTCACATATCTGGAGAGAAGGGGAGAGGACCAGGGAACTGACTTCTGCTGAGCATCAACTGTGCACCAGGCATTGTGCCTTAGTGCACAAAACCATTATTCTATACCTCTGTGAGGAAAGTATAGTATTGTTAGCTTCACTGCATAGTTTGGGGAAAGGAGGCTCAGATGAAAGAATTCAAGGTAATACAGATAATAAATGTCAGATTGAAAATGTGTATCATGGTCTCTATTAGAAAGGTCCAGAAAGGTCTGTGAAAAACAGAGGAAACTAGAAGACTGATATCCTGTTTCCCTTCTGTCTGCAGGATGGATGAAGGCGATGCTGTGATCATGCATCCTGGGATCCTGTGCATCATGGTTAGGCTGCTGCCTCGGTTGTACCATGAAGATCACCCTCAGGTATTTGTTGATAGCAATACATATTTGTCTTTTTTTTTCACATGCCTGATCTTTTTTTTAAGGTCTCTTTTTAAAAGGTTTTATTTATTTATTTTTAGAGAAGGGAAGGGAGGGAGAAAGAGAGGGAGAGAAACATCAATGTGCGGTTGCCTCTCATGTGGCCCCCACTGCGACCTGGCCCACAACTCAGCCATGTGCCCTGAGTGGGAATCAAACTGGTGATCCTTTAATTCATAGTCTGTGCTCAATTCACTCAGCTACACCAGCCAGGGCTTCACATGATTGATCTTTTAAGCTCCTTCTGACTGGAGACCAGGTTTTCCCTTTTGCCTTTGCTCTCAGTACCCTGCTTGAGCAGAGCCACTCTTGACAAGTGCCTTCTTCAGGGGAGTGTCAATGTATCTGAGACCTTTGAGTGACTTCTGTCCACCTCCCAAGACTATTGAAAACAGACCACTTCTGTTGGTTTAGTGACCCTGTAAAACACAACAGCCAAACAAAACTCAACTGAAATTATTTCACCTTTGTGAGGCAAGTCCAGGATGCTAAGGACAGCATTGGGAATTGATGGGACCAAAAGTCCTTCACTCTCTGTGTATTCAACTATCTCATAGGTGTGGCCACAATCCTGGCTCTGTGCTCTGTGCTCTGTGCAGGATGAGCTGGGCTAACAAGATGGATGCTGTTCATGGAACCTGTGTCTACAGTGGGGACCAGGAGGTGGTGACAGTACAGACAGACTAAATAAATATGTTCAATAGTGGATATCCAATTACAAATCATGACAAATGATATCAAGGGAAAAATGTAGGGTGCTGTGAGAGAATAATGGGAATGGAAGTGGGAGGAATACATAATTAAATCTAACTTAGACAAAGGAGAAAAGGTCAGGGAAGTCATCTCTTACATGGTGACATTTAAGCAGAACCCTGAAAGATGTATATAAATTAATCAGCTTGGAAGGCACCTGCTGCAGGTAGCTTGGGTGAGGGCAGCCAGGGGGAGAGTGGGAAATGCGTTAGGTTGGGCAGGCAGAGGAAGGTGGGAGCCTTGCCTACAGTGTGGAGTTATTCCCAGGAAACAAGCAACTCTCTCAAGTGAATGTGAGATGACTCTATCAGGTTTTTGTATTAAAAACATGTCTATGGGTGTTTTGTGAAGTATGGCCTGGGGCTGGGGCCATGTGGAAGAAGCAAGTGGAGTGGTTAGGAAGCCACATCTACAGTCCAAGTAACACATGGTATTGCTCGAATATGGTGTTTGTTGGAAAAGGAGAAGAGAAAGGAGTCAAGGGACCCATCAGAGATAGAATCACAGGCCCTGAGATGAACAAGGTACAGGTAGTAGGAAGAGGGTAGAACGAAGATCTCCAGTTCAAGATGAAACACTTGAATGGGTGACAGTGATGAGTTAGAGAATGAGGCAAATCATGAGAAAGCACTCTCAGCTTAGAAAGTCAGTATGTTAGAAGTTCTGAGGGAGAAGCTAGAAGAATTGAAGAAGACCTAGCAAATGCACACTTTAGATTTATCAATAGCAGAGAAAGGAAATCAATTGAAATGCACAGCTGTTGTGTGCTTGGCATGATGCTGGCCCTTCTGCTGTTTATTCATCCTCATAGCAGTTTTGGGGGCCACATTATTATCTACATTTTAACCAGTGGGGGATCCTATAATTTAAATAATTTTTAAGGATTCCCAGTTGGTGGACCTGGTATTGAATGTGGCCCTACCTGCTGGCAAGTCTTGTGGTCTTTCCCCAGCACAGCAGTGGCTTCTAGAGAAATAATGGGGGTTGGAGGCACTCTGGGCATTTAAAATCAGGTGATACATCTTAAGAAGAAAGACAACTAGAGGGATTATTAATCACAGCCTGAAACTAATAATAACTTAGTAAAAATATTGCAAGCCCGCTAAAGTCAGTTAGAGAAGTGCAGTGGAGAAGGAAATGCCTTGTTGTGTAGAGAAGGGAATTGTTTTCACTCATGAAATTCTGTAGTATTTGGTACAGGAGTTAAAAAAAAGGACTGACACAGTGTCATCTCTACCTGTCCCTTTGTAACTGGAATCCTTTTTCTTCTTCTTGTTCCTCTGCTTACAAGTGACAATAGAATGATGTTCAAGCCAATGAATAGGGACATGTCTAATAGTGAAATTAATGGACTTTATAGTTTTCAACATTTCTGGAAAAGCAGTAGACTGGTATAAGATGGCTTAGGGTGCTCATTGAGTTGTCCATTGCTATGTAACAAACTGTTGTTGAGTAACAATGCCCCTTCATCCTTTCTCATGGTTTTGTGGGTCAGGAGTTTAGACAGGCATGGAAGAGACAGCTTATCTCTGCCCCATGTGGTATTGTCTGGGCTGAAGAATCCAAGTTGGCTTCTTTACTCACAAAGCTGTCACCTCATAATGCTGCTTAAATGGCCCAGGGCTCCTGGGCTGGCTGACTGGATCAGATGTCTGGGGGATTGGTTTGAGCTTTTCGTAAGAGCCTGAGTTCTACCTGCGTCCCTCCACGTGGATTCTCCAATAGGCCACATAGCAATTCAGGGCCCTCAAAGGCATAAAAGCAAAAGATGCCAGGCCTTCCGAAGGCTTAGGCCAGGAAAAGCCAGCATTGCTTCCACAGTATTCTGTTGGTCAAAGCAAGTGACGGGTTCAGCTTAGACTCAATGGGAAGGGAAATATGTTTTTCCTCTACTAACATGTGAGGTAGCATTGTGTGTACAAGAGAGAGGGAACTGTTTGGGGCCACCATTAAACACCAGATGCCATACTTGCCGTAAGCATCCATCTGGTGGATAAAAATATTTGACTCCTAAACCAAATGTCTTTTAATTATATAGTTATGTAAAACCTGGGATCCTCATTTCTTTTTTTAAATATATTTTATTGATTATGCTATTACAGTTGTCCCATATCCCCCCTTCATTCCCCTTCACCTTGCACACCTGCTCCAACCCGCATTCCCCCGCATTAGTTCATTTCCATGTGTCATAAGTTCTTTGGTTTCTACATTTCCCATACTATCCTTGCCCTCCCCCTGTCCATTTCCTACCTACTGTCTATGTTACTTATTCTCTGTACCTTTTCCCTCTCTCTCCTCCTCCCACTCCCCTGTTGCTAACCCTCCGTGTGATCTCCATTTCTGTGGTTCTGTTCGAGTTCTGGTTGTTTACTTAGTTTGCTTTTGTTTTAGTGTGGTTGTTAATAACTGTGAGTTTACTGTCATTTTGCTGTTCATATTTTTTTAATCTTCTTTTCTTAGATAAATCCCTTTAACATTTCATATAATAAGAGCTTGGTTATGATGAACTCCTTTTACTTGACCTGATCTGGGAAGCACTTTATCTGCCCTTCTATTATAAATGATAGCTTTGCTGGATAGAGCAATCTTGGATGTAGGTCCTTGCCTTTCATGACTTGGAATACTTCTTATTAGCCCTTTCTTGCCTATAAGGTCTCTTTTGAGAAATCAGCTGACAGTCTGATGGGAACTCCTTTGTAGGTGACTGTCCCCTCATCTCTTGCTGCTTCTAGAATTCTCTCCTTCATTTTAATCTTGGTTAATGTAATTATGATGTTCCTTGGTGTATTTCTCCTTGGGTCCACCTTCTTTGGGACTCTCTGAGCTTCCTGGATTCCCTGGAAGTCTATTTCCTTTGCCAGATTGGGAAAGTTTTCTTTCATTACTTTTTCAAATAAGTTTTGAATTTCTTGTTCTTCCTCTTCTTCTTCTGGCATCCTTATGATTTGAATGTTGGAGCATTTAAAGATATCCTGGAGGTTCCTAAGCCTCTCCACATTTTTTTGAATTCTTGTTTCTTCATTCTTCTTTTCTGTTTGTTTGTTTGTTTGTTTCTTCCTTCTAGTCTACTTCATTGATTTCAGTCCCAGTTTTCTTCCCATCACTATTGGTTCCCTGTGCATTTTCTTTCATTTCACTTACTGCAACCTTGATTTTTTCATCTAATTTGTGACCAAAATCAACCAATTCTGTGAGCATTCTGATCACTAATGCTTTGAACTGTACATCTGATAGGTTGGCTATCTCTTTTTCACTTAGTTGTATTTTTTTTCTGGAACTTTGATCTGTTCTTTTGTTTGGGCCATTTTTTTTTTGTCTTGTCTGGCCTATTACATTGAGGGGTGGAGCCTTAGGTGTTCACAAGGGCAGGGCAACCCAGTTGCTGAGTTGTGACACTGTATGTGGGGGCGGGGTCAGAGAGGGAACAATGATACTTGCTCTGCTCTCTTGTCCCTTCTGCTGCTTCCCACAAGCAAATTGGGCCCTTCTGATGCTGGTTTTCAGGTGGGTGGGCTTGTGTACATTCTAGGACCCTGTGGGTCTCCCCAACAAACTCTCCTGTGAGGCTGGGAGTCTCTTTGGCACCTCACCCCCCATGAGTGTTTTCAATCAGTGCTTTTAGGCTTTATTTCTCAGTGCTGGGGCCCTAGGTTAAGTGGTCTGCCTCACTGCCCATTTTTGTCTGGTTTATCTGTGTGTGAATGTGACTATGTTCAGCCAGCCACATTGTGCGCCTCACTTGGTCTGCGCCTCACTGGGTCTGCTTGTTGCCTCCCCACACCTGGGGTCTGCCAACCACCACCTACATGTCTGGATCCACCAGCTACTGCTTTTTCCTGCCACAAGCCCTCTCCATTGGCCACTGACTCCACCCCTCTTACTGTTCTGGATGAATGGTTGTTGGACTTCCATACAGTTCAATTTTCTGTCAGTTTTGGTTTTTTTTTTTGTTTCTAAACTTTTGTTGTCCTTAATTTTGGTTGTGTGAGGGAGCACAGTGTGTCTACATATGCCTCCATCTTGGCCAGAAGTCTCATTTCTTCACCTTGGTATTCAAGACAGGGCCTATCTGGAACATACTGGAAATTAACACATTCTTTTATACCAGGAAGGTTATTTTATCAACACTCACAACTGCTCACTTGAAAGTAGGTAAGAATCTCACCATTTTGCAGCTGTGTGAGGCCCAG